TGCTATCTATGGATGCTACTTTATCGGCAAACCAGTGGAACCAAATTTTAGGTTTTCAAAGACCCAAGCTGCATGGTGGTCAATTTAAAGGTGGAGAATGTTTGAAACTGTTAAAAAATATTTATGTGTTAAGAGAATTAATAAAGTCTTCTAACCTGGAAACAGATAAGCATATCATTTCTATAGTTAATTTCTTTAAATATTTAAAACTAGTAAAGTTGCATGTTTTGGTTTGACATTAGTAAAGAAAAAATGAAAGTTTGTTACTTGATTATGAATCAACCATTAACAACTACAAAGATGCTTGTATTAAACTTGTCACCTACAAGTATCACCGAAAGTGCATGTTCTTATCAAGCATACATGTAAATTTCTTTCACTTATGTTGAATACCAGTCCAAATAAAAGAATTTTTTTTGGTTTGAACAGGCCTCTGAATCTGTTCATTGTGATTTTAAACAGTTTTGGGATACAAAGTTTCTAGACGCCTTAAAGACAATCTGCAAAGCCTGATTAAAGCCACTGTTACATACAAATCCCAACATACCTTCTTTAAAACAGTTTTACTTTACAATTAAATGTTATAATATATATATGTTTCTTTTGAAAATTATTATTGATTGTAAATGGAAATTAATATAATTGTAAACATTAAATTGTGTTGTTTAAACCATTCTTTAATTGAAAAACAATTGAATACCAAAAACTAATTTCAAATTTTTTTGTTTTTCAAAATAAGTAACCTTCCGATATGTATTTCCACACTAATACTATAGATCATCCAGACCATATTTAAAAATCTGGAAAATTGTTTAGGTAAAATATCCAGATAAATAAGGAATATTCTCTCCTTTATTTTCCTCTTAATTTTGCTTTTAGACGAGTTGCTTCTAACTTTTTTTTCAAACTTTTCTTAACTTTAGCCAAGTGAAAAAGCTTAAAAAAGAAATATATTACAAAAATATATACCTAAACTTTATGTATGGAAAACATTTTGGATATCCTTTTTTGGAACAACTAAAAATTAAGATAAATTTCCAAAACTCTGGAAATATCTGGATAAAGATGATCCTTGTAATACAACTAATATGTTTAAAAAAAATTCGATCAGAGTTTGGGAGAAAACATTATCTTAAAACTAGGGCCCCAAGGTCCAAATATATGTTTGGAAAAGAAATTTTTTAGGGAAAGGATAGAAATTGTTAGGCAATAATAAATAATAGTTCCTCCTAAAGTTAACAACCTCGTCAAAGAAGTTTCAAACTTTCCTTGGTTGCCATTTTTAAACAGTAAGGAAATTATTAAGATAAATTAAATTTTCCGATAATTTTTGACATACTTTAAGATACTACAGAAAAAAAAAAAATTTTATTCTTCTTTCCACTTTTGGAACAGTGGGTCCAGGTGCATATTGTTCCCAGGCTCTGATCACCGTATTAATTTGTAAAACATTCTTATTTGATACCAGTATCAATACTACAGCTTTTAAAGTTTGCAGAATCTCTTAAAATTACCTATCTTAAACACCGAAAATCTATGACCTGCCCATTTAACCCCCTTTTTTTTGAAAAACGCTGACAGAATATTTTCATAATAATAATTATAATTGTACAAAGAAACGTGGTTTTGAAAATGCAAACCATTTCTGGTTAACATTTTTTTTCAAATAAATTATTTCCGTTATGGTGTGATAAATTAAATAATTAAAGGAAGTATCCAGAAGTTTCCAGATGCATGCAGAAGCTTCCAGAAGTTTCCAGAAAAAGCATCTGAAAGCATCCAGAAGTATCCAGAAACATTCAGAAGCATCCAGACGCATCCAGAAGCTTCTAGAAGCATCGAAAAGAAGCATCGAAAAGAAGCATCTAGAATCTTCCAGAACAGGTTCACACAGGTTCATTTTACTATATATGAGACATGTAAACTGACATGTAATTCAGTCTGTATATGGAAGTCAATCAGTCAGTATTATCACCACAGTTTATCGAAGTGAGTTTTATCAAAGTGTTTTATCGAAGAGCACCAATAAAAGAAGTGAAATACAACAAGTGTTTCATTACATCAATACAGTCCACATCCAATTAAGACGTTGTGTTTCACAGAGCATTATTGTATCATCACAAGGTAAATGTAACACGGAAAGCCTTGAGAAGCGTGATTATTTTTATTATTTTTATGACTTCATGTTCAAAAATGGCTCCCGACAGTCTTGGATTAGAAATAAGAAAAAAAATTATTGGCAATTACGTAAGTGGAATGTCACAAAAAAGTATTTGTGATAAATATTGTGTTAAAAAATGGACCGTATCAAGACTATGTTCCAAATACCATTCTACGGGGAAGTTAGCAGCAGATAACAAAGGTGGAAGACCGCATTCCACCACTTCTAGAAAGGATTCTATGATCATCAGATCCGTCAAGAAGGATCCCTGGATATCATCAGTCGATATACAAAAGCAATTAGAGCTGCCTGTATCAGACCGAACAATCAGACAACGTGCTGTTGAAGCTGGATTGTTTTCTCGACGCCCTGCAAAGAAACTGCTGATTTCACTAAAGACCAGAAGAAAAGACTTCTGTTTGCTATATCTTATATTGACTGAAATGTGCAGAAATAGCGAACTGTCCTGTTCAGTGATGAATCAAAGTTCAACATCATTGGGAGCGATGGCATTTGCTGTGTACATCGACCGGCTGGAAAACGCCTCGATTTACATTACTGCCATAAGACCGTAAAGCATGGTGGAGAAAATGTAATGGTCTGGGGGTGTTTTTCTGCTAACGGTCTAGGTCCAATACATCGAATTGATGGAATAATGGACCATTTCATGTATAAAAATATCCTGAAAGATGTTATGTTACCTCATGCTGAATGGAATATGCTAATAAAATGGGTTTTTCAGCAAGACAACCATCCAAAACACACTGCAAAAGTAGTCAAGCAGTGGTTTCAAGACAACCACCTATTGGTGATGGATTGGCCGTCTCACTCTCCAAATCTCAACCCTATCGAGAACCTGTCAACTGCAGAATTAATCACGAAGGTGTTTGTAATAAGAATCAACGATTTGAACAAATCCAAAAGGCCTGGGCAGCGATTCCACAAAGTTTCATTGATCACCTGATCAAATCTATGCCTCGAAGATGCAAGGCTGTGATCGACAACAAAGGATTCGCCACAAAACATTGATAGCAAAATACAGCTTGGACAACATTTTGTGGAGTTGCACTTGTTTTGTCCAGAAGGAAAAAAACTTTTTTCAATGCCTTTGATTAATTTATTAATTTTCGTGTACAAATAATAAACTTTGTGATGAATAAAACTTAAAGAACGTTGTCTCTAAACAGTTACATAGTTATTTCTTTAAATTGAAAAAGTGCAGCACTTTTATATAAAGAAACTAAATTAGCATTATTTGGTTGCACTTGTTTTGTCCGATACTGTATGTATGTATATATATATATATATATATATATATATATATATATATATATATATATATATATATATATAGTTTTATAGAATTGCCTAAGAATTCTATAAAACAATTTCTTGCAGTTTTTAGAATGATTACTGTAGTTTAAAATCTAATAAAAGCCTATATTATAAGACAATATATTTTTTAAACAATATTTTAAACAATACACATGGGTACAAATATGTGGAAATGTCAATAATAATAAGCTAATACACCAATATTGGCATATTAGCTAATATGAGCATATCAATACGATCCCAATATTGGTATTCTAATATTGGACAAACAATATTATTGCAATAAAGACATGCTAGTACTTGCTAATATTTATATGCCAATATTTTTGATTATTATTGGTGCAATATCGCATATCTTGTTCAATATTGGCCAAGATACAAAATATCGCACTATTATTGCACCAATATTTCTTGCTAATAGGGATCTTTTAGCCTGTTGCCAGAAGGATATCTCTAAATGCCTGTTTAGATAAGTAATCTGAGGTCATACTGAAATAGCCTGCTGCTAGAGGTTTCAGTACATACAAGAACTATTTTATAGCCTACTGTTGGTAAGAGTGCTACTACATTAACTAAGGGTTTAGGTTGGGGCAGCAATCTTTTCTTTCATTATTCTTTGTTGTTTTTTCTCTTTAAAAATGAGAGCTTCTTGGCTTATTCTCTATTTTTATCTGGACTTTAAAAACCTGGAGTTAAAGAAAATGTATAAAAACATCTAAACTTCATTAATATATATATATATATATATATATATATATATATATATATATATATATATATATATATATATATATACATATATATATATATATATATATATATATATATATATATATATATATATATATACATACACATATATATATATACATATATATATATATATATATATACACATATATATATATATATATATATATATATATATATATATATACATATATATACATATATATATATATACATATATATATATATATTACATATATATATATATATATATATATATATATATATATTTTATATATATATATATATATATATATATATATATATATATATATATATATATATATATATATATATATATATATATATATATATATATATATAGGGAGTACTCGAATCTATTATTTTTGAATACAGTCTCAGCCTACCATTTTAGATGGCTATTGATGCTAAAAGATTCTACAAGCAGAAAGTTAGAAAGTAATATGTATTATATGTAGGGTTTTTTTCTAGTTTACTTTATAACCGATTATCTTGAAATAAAAGAATTTTTTTTTTCTAGACTCTTTAAATCATTTTTTTAGACATTTAAGCATTTACTATATGAGGTTATGAACAATAAATCTTTGACATTTAAGCACTTGCTATCAGATTTTAAATAATGGACTTTAGACATTTAACAACTTGCTATATGAGGCTAAAAACAAAGAAACTTAAACATTTTAACCACTTATATGAGGTTATAAATAATGAAAATAAAGATAAAACATTTTACCTGCAAACCTTCTGTAGCTTTGAATTGAGTACTTCGTATTCCTAAATTAAAACAAACTGATTTATTTACAAAAGTATACACAAAACAGTAAGCAATTAATTAAAAAACATAAACAATTAATTAAAAAAACATCTACGTGTTCTAACAATGTTTTTATGTACTTTGAATATAATATATCTGATGAATAATTTATAGAAAAATCCTTTTATTATTGGGCTGGCTATTTTTTTGTGTAAAAAAATGTTTTCTATTTGCTTGCAGTACTTTTTGCTTTAAAGTTATTAACAATTTAAAAAAAAGAGTTTTTATTAATAAACAAAGCATATTTTGCATGATTACATTTCAACATTACAACATAAATTTAAAATAAAATAGTTAACATTTATTTTAAAATTAAATAATTACAAAATTTGATATATTACTGTTAAGAAAATATCAATCAAATATTTTATATTATAAACTTTTTGTATGACATTGTAATCAACTTGTTTGAACCACCTGCTAAAAACCAGTGAGCTTTTGTTTTTGTATTTTACATAAAGCTGTTTTTCAAAAACTGTTTTACAAGAGTTTACAGAACAGTAATAAAACAATACAAATAAAGAAACAAGGTAGTTTTGAAGGAACAATAAATTTTGTTTACACAAAAAGTTACAGTAGTAAAATAGTAACAAAAAAAAGCTAAAAACCAAAAAATAATTAATATAACTTAAATGAATTCAAAAATATAAACGATTGACTGATATCCTTTATTACTTACCTAACATTAATTACATACCTTAAATTCTTATGTCTTAGTCTTGTCTATGACTAAAGATGTTCTAGCCTTGTGAGCCTTTGTCATAGTAATATTCAAAACAGGTAACTTATCAAATTTCTTAAAAACTTGTGTGACAACATCTTACAATCTCACTACGAAGAAGACTAATATATATATATATATATATATATATATATATATATATATATATATATATATATATATATATATATATATATATATATATATATATATATATATTCTTCAGTGGATTTTCATAAATTTTTTTAAAGCAAATTAACAAACAATTTGTCAATACACCTTCAACATTGACCTGTCTTCCCACACCATTAGAAGCAAAGCATCCCCAAATCATAACTCTTTGTTGTTTTTTAAAGCCAAATATTTGAAATTTACTCTCATTAGACCATAACACTGAGTTCCAAAAAGCCTTAAATAAAATTACCATTATTAACTTTGTTAATATGCAGTTTTGCAAATGTAAAACGTTATTTTTTTTGTTTATACCACTAATGAGGGGTTTACTTTTTTGAAGACGGTTTATTAAACCACTTGAATTAAGTCTTCTCTGTACAGTTCGATTGTAATTTAATTTAAGTTTCGAATTTAACTTAAGATTTTCAACAATCTGTCTTGAGGTTATTGTTGAATTCTTTTTTGCTTTCTGTGCAATTTAAATATCAGTTCTTGTTGAAGTCTTAGAGGAGTCTTTTTTCAATCACAAATGACCCGACATCTGATGTCCAATAAATAATTTTGTTGATAACTATTCTTATTATAAGTTTTATCTTTTCTAAAAATAAATTCCAAAAAATATAGTTTAAAATGCTTACTTTTAATAAATTTAACAAAATGTTTTTAATCATTTTTAATAAATAGCTATTGACAAAATATTATATTTCTTAAGAAAAACTTATATGTATCTTACTTTTGTCACAAAAGTTTGAATGAAAAAAATGTAAGATGGCTAATTTTAATTAATAGAATTACTTTTGTAATGAGTTAAAAAGAGTTATAAATATATTTGTTTTTCTTTGGAATCAAAGTTTAAAACAAACATGAAAATATATACAAACATGAAATTATACAGTTATCTCAATCCTGAGGGAGATAATTTCATTTTTATTGTTTATGTTTTGATTTTATCAACAATGTTACTCAATATTGTTTGTATATACATATATATATATATATATATATATATATATATATATATATATATATATATATATATATATATATACAAATAGTATTGATTACTAAGGTAAGCAATTTGACGTCATACTGAAATAGCCTGCTGCTGGGGGCTTCAGTACATACATCAACTGACAATTAGCCTGACTCGCAGTGGAGTGCTGCTACATCCACTGAGGGTTTGGGATTGGGCAGCAATCATTTTATTCATCATTCTTTGTTTTTTCTTCTTCTTTTTTTTCGAAAAAAACGGTACGGCTTAAGGTAAGCAGAAAAAGTGAGCAAATGCTTATCAAAACACGCTTTAGTAAGTGTATATATATATATATATATATATATATATATATATATATATATATATATATATACACTTACTAAAGCATGTTTTGATATATTCTGAAATAGCTTGCTGCTAACCTCAGTACACACATCAACTATGCAAATATTACATGACAATAATGAAAATATTAAAACTTGTGATTTCTATTTTTAAAGTTTTTAATAGTATATTAGTGAAAGAAATATATATATATATATATATATATATATATATATATATATATATATATATATATATATATATATATATATATATATATATATATATATATATATATATATATATATATATAAAGTGTTTAGATAACATTTTTCGAAAACATACTGAAATAGCTTGCTGCTAACCTCAGTACACACATCAACTATGCAAATATTACATGACAATAATGAAAATATTAAAACTTGTGATTTCTATTTTTAAAGTTTTTAATAGTATATTAGTGAAAGAAATATATATATATATATATATATATATATATATATATATATATATATATATATATATATATATATATATATATATATATATATATATATATATATATATATATATATAAAGTGTTTAGATAACATTTTTCGAAAACATACTGAAATAGCTTGCTGCTAACCTCAGTACACACATCAACTATGCAAATACTAAATGACAATAATGAAAATATTAAAACTTGTGATTTCTATTTTTAAAGTTTTTAATAGTATATTAGTGAAAGACTAGTTGATAAATTATTTTTTGTATTCACCATATGAATTTTATTGAAACTATGAACTATAATAAATTTTGGCAGGTCAGGTTATCCTGCTACTGGTAACATGTAACCCAGTACAACCTGCTTCATGTCCTGTTGCTTTGTAAGAATTCGCTTTTTTTAGACAAAGGCTAGGAGAAGCCAACTCTTGGTTGAGTAAAGGCTCGAGATGGTGCCTCGATAAAAATACTCATCTCGGGCAAATGTTGAATGCATCCGGCTACTGTCTTGTAGAAGGCCTCCTAGGCAATGACTTAAGGGCTAAACAGATACTATCTGTTGACCAGCCTCGCACCCCTTCTTCATCTATAAGGCTGGCGAAGATGTATTTATAATACATTGATTACAGTTTAGGATGTTGAATGCTGGATCTTCTAGACTCAATGCATGGGTTTTGCTTATGTCTCTGTTTTTATGACTAGGCACTAACTAAGACTAATTCTATTATCTCCTAATGAGGATACAGCTCTAAAACTCAATTTTATGGTTCTGAGGCCAGCTGGTAGTCAGGTTTCCCAAACTCTGTGGTAGCTCTCAGAGAGGCTGATTCCATGAACAGTAAAAATATTAAGTACTAACAGTGCCATGTGGCCTCAAAAATGCACACCTTTTGGTGTGCATTTTTGAGGCCACATTTGGAGTCCTTTGTTACGGCTTAGGGTTTATTAATAGCAATAAGGCAATTTCTTGGGCTATTAAATAGTGTCTGAGTACTATCTGTGCTTTAAGTCAAGTTTTTTAACAAATTTAATAATGACTAAAGTACCAAACACTATAAAACACAAAAAACTTTCACTATTCACTGACATTTGTGATCTTTGAAGTAACTTTTCTTCTGTTGAAGAAAACCTCTTGCAATGTTCACCAGACCAACTTGCTATTTGTGAGATTAATCTGAGTTGGGCTGTCTCATCTTGTGATCTTAGTGTTGATGGTTATCTTCCTTTAATTCGTAAAGACTCTAATAGTCACATGCTTAGCCTGGGCATTTACATTCATAAGAATTCACCCATTTGTCAGGAAACTACGTTTGAATCCACAGACTATTCTTTTATGTGCTTTTGTTTAGCACCACTTCACTCTATCGCCTTTCTTTTTGTTCTATAATGCTCTTCTTATTCTATATATATAAATCCAATATGGATTTTGGTCTTCTCGTTCTACAGTTGATTTGCTAACAGTAATAACCGATAGGTTTTATTTTGCATTAGATAGATATGGAGAGGTTAAGGCTATCGCTCTTGACATTTCTAAAATTTTTGATAAGATTTGGCACGCTGGTCTTCTCCATAAGCTTTCTTCTTATGCTGTATCAGGTAACATTTTCTAGATTATTGAATCCTTCTTTACCAATTGTAGTATTAAAGTTGGAACTTGATGGACAACACTCTTTTTCATATCCTGTAACTTCAGAGGTTCCTCAAGGTTCTATTCTTGACCCTATAGTTTTTTTAATTTACATTAATGATCTTGAAGATATTCTCACATCTAAGGTGGTATTGTTTGCTGATCATACTACCATTTAATCTTGTCATGATAAGGAGCCAACACTCTCTGATTGTTTGGAGGGGGCATTTGAGTGGATCGTACTTCTGCTACAGCATGGGGCACACAATGGCTGGTGAACTTTAACTCAGATAAAACTCAATTATTTTCAGCTAATCATTATCATAATAGTTTAGATCTTCCTAAATTTATATACAGTAATGTACTCAATAAGTCATCTACCCTTCATCTTCTAGGATTAATTCTTACTTCCAACCTTTCTTGGAAACCATATATCATATCCATTGCAAAATTAGGATCTCTTTATCAAGCTCCACACTTTCCTACTCTGGATTCTATTCTTTATCTTTATAAATCTCAAATCCATCCTTGTATGGAATACTGTTGCCATTTCTGGGGCGGATCTTTCAATTATGCTCTTTCTCTTTTAGACAAGATGACCTGCTCTTGCAGCCAACCTCCAAACATTATTACA